TTTGCACAGAGTGCTCAAAATTCTAATTGCTGCAAGTTTCAAAGGAATACAGCAAACTCCTGATAACTTGACCCTTAATTTGTCACTACCACTTAAATCTCATGCTGATCCTGGCTACATTTTTTTTTGTATTTGTATTTCTACAACCTGTTTCTGATATTGGCCATGAAATTGCCCTTTACAACTAAACCTATGTCCACTCATTCTACTATCTTGTTGCATCCTAAAGTATTGATCTGGGTTTGTTTTTTCAAACCCAAATAAAAAAANTTGCACCTCCTATGAGGTCCCCTCTGAGTCATCTTCTCTCAAGACTGAATTATTGTGGATTATGGAATAGGTTAGCCAGTGAATTGTGTAAAATGTTGATTATAATGTGAAGAAAAGCCTTGTGAGTTGTTTAACACTTTTCATTTCAGTGCTCACCCGATTTTCAAGTTTAATTAAATAACCATCCTTTAAAATACTGCTTTATTTTGGCAGCTCTATTCATGACTATTATGGAAAGTATAGAAGTTTATGAAAAATGTAATGGCCATCAGTCCTTCGAACTGAAATATTTCCAACAATGTTTTTTAACTGGAGAATGTTTTAACTTAATTGAATTTAACTTTTGTAAAGCTATGTAGTCATTATATTAAAATAATCAGAACTAATTGTATTTAATGAACAGCCTTTTGGAGGACAGCTGAATGTCATTCTAGTTGTCTAATGTACTATACCATTCCCACATCAACTGCCTCTGGCGAGTTGATTTAAATTTTCGTCTGACAGGCATTAATGGCTAGTGAGCAGTAATTACACACAGTAATATAATTGAGGTTCAGGTGGCATTTTAAACTGCACTTGTGAAGCTTAAGTGGTTGGAAACGATTAACATTTGAATTATAAGATTGTGTTTTTCTTTTGTCTTAATCGCTGTGTTACTTTTATATTTAAAATAATGCACACTTCAAAGAGTATCCTGATTTTATGGTTTATATTTGAATTTGACTCTTACGGATTTATTTTGAGATCATCCTTTCTTGAGTGAGTTACTCGTTTGTAAGGCTGTCTGCCTTGAGATTCAGGTGATCTTTGGTAGATATTTTCCCCTTCCTCCAAATGCGATTTCTAAGATTTTTCCTTCTGGACATCTTTTTTCATAATCCCTCCTCATCCAAATCCATATGAATTGGCTGCTTGACCCATTTATTGTTGCTGGGAGCAAAATAGCTGCCACGATTGCCTATGACAAAATTCAATTTATTCTCAATTTATCTCATTCTGGAAATTACCTCTAAGCCATTTTGTACACAAAATACTATATAAATGCAGGTTTATCTGTGCAAGTTCACTCCCACGTTGGTGTATAATGACTTCCATTGATTAATTAATAATTTAACAAAAAGCTCTGAGACGCGACTCTGAGTGGAGGGCACTATATAAGTGCATGTTGTTGTTGCCTTATCACATCTTCAAAATATCTCAAAGCATTTCACAGAATTTAATATAAAGTGAGGTGGCCATTTTTGATGACAGACAATTTGCATACAGTAATGCCTCACAAACAGCCATAAAATGAATGACAAATGTTATCTTTTCTTGAATGGTGCCATAGAATCTTTCACATCCACCTGAACATGAATAGGCCTTATTGTTAGTAAACCCAGATCATTTCTTTAGGATGTACCATGACAGTATAACAAGAGGACAGAAGTTTATAGAGTTCTGAAGGGAAAATTCAGACTAGGTACCAGGAAATTTTTACAGAGGGTAATCATTGATTCACTGGATCAGATTGCTAGGAAAGGCTACAAAGAGTACAAACATGCAATTCAACTCAATCAGTCAGTGCCTGTGTTTATACACAAATCTTCACCGTTCCTTAGTTCCTCCCATACTCCTCTATTCCCCTTTCCCTCATGTCAGGGTCTAGCTTCCTTTTGAATGAATCTACACTATCTGGTGGTGGTAGAGGTCATTTAAAAAGCAGCTTGATGCAGTGAGTAATGGGGGAATGGTAGGATAGGTGTTCTGGAAGGGCGAGATGGGATGAGCCGAAGGGCCTTCTTCATCCAAACCAATCTTGTGATCTGAAGGATGGCTTCTCCAACAATGCAACATTGCCCCAGTGCTATATTGGAATTTCAGCCAAGACTGTAAGTTCAAAGACCTGGTGTGGGACTTGAACCTACAACCTCTGACTTGGAGGAAAGTTCTTCCAGCTGAGTCAGACTGACACCAAATTACTGTGCATTGGTTGAAATGATTAAATGACGATCCTTATAAAGTCTTAAAGATGAACAACTGAACAATAACCATTTGAAAGATTGATTAGTGTTTCACATATCCAAAATATTATCCTTTTTGCTCAGTTGAATGTTACTGAACCTGCTGTACATCAGCATTTTCAGTTTCAAGATTTCCAGAATTCATGTTTTCTTTTTTTAATCCCTCTAACTGAAGATATTTTGCTCCTTTCTGTTGAGATTTGTTTGTCCTTTGTCCTGTTCATCATTGTTGTTGCTGTTTACTGTTTTCATAGCCTATTCTTATTTTGGCATCTAGCCATTAATTCCATGTTTACTTCTGCTATATTTTACCTTTTTAAATCTACTAACATCACCATGATATGTAGTGAACCTGAGATCACTCTACTTGTCATTCCATCGCAATCGTTGCTGCCCGAGGAGTGGTTTTATGCATTCTCTGACTTGGCTCTTCAGCATCCAATAAGCTACCTTGGACCCCAGTTTCATACTTTTCCCCATCAGTTGCTTTATTTACAATTTAGTTTCTCTTTCCTTTTTGATAGCCTGAACTGAAATTTCCACCAACCCCTGCTCCCATCTTCTATTCCAGGTCTTCTGTCCAGACAGCTGTTTGCCCCGTTCTCACTATCACACTGCATTGTCGTTTTTTTGCCCCTGAGCTATCTATTCTTACTATAGGATTAAGCTTCATCCCCCTCTGCCCGGAGCTCAACAAAATTAAAGCTTTAAGTGATGAATTTCATACTTCTACCTACAGCATAACATGCTTTTGTTTTTCCTGTGCCCCTTAAACAGCATGTCAAATCTATTAAAGATGAGCAGCCTTTTTCGGTTTACAGTATAAGCCTTTTTATCAAGTATTTTTGGGGGTTGATCAATTCTCTTCTGAATGGTTACACTTACACCTGAAATGTTAACATTACAGTATTTTTCTTATTCAAATGCTTTCCATTATGTTCTGTTTTTGTTTCACATTTCAAACATTTGCAGTTTTTTCATCTTTAGATTTAGTTTTATGATTTTTAAGTTTTGTTGGTATTTAGCCATATTTATACAGGACTAATTCAGATTTGAGAATGTTTTTTTTATTTTTTCCTCCTCATAATATTTTTCCTTGAATGATTGAGAAGTGTGATTCTGATGCAACAAAGGAATTTAGAGCTGCAATCAACGATCAATGTCTAACTTTATTTGTTACTGTCTTGGTGATTTGGCTTATTATTGGAATTAATTCTAAATAGTTTCATAGATAAATACAGTTGCTGTTTGTAGTATGTCAATACATAGAAGTTCTAATTTTCTTGAGTTTGCCTTGACCTTGCGAGAGCATTAATGTAGGAAATTTTTGCAGCAGAATTCATTGAATTTGACCACAAAATTGGCGAATTGAGAAATATCGCTTTGTATAACCTTCACACAATATCATTGGTGATACATTAATAAAGTTTTATTCCATTGGTACACAGTTCTATGGCGGCTTAATCAAATGCTCCATAACTGACAGCTTGATAGTTTATGGGGAAATACATATTCTGATCCCTCAAGCAGCTCGTGGAATGTGTAAGAAAATGATTGAAACTATTTTATGTTTGTTAATTTCATAACTACAAATATTATAGGTCATATAAAAAACGTATTGAAACAAACAGTATGATCGGAAAAAAACTGAAAAGATCCAAAATCTTGAATTCACATTGCTTAATGATTTTCAAGGTTCTTTTATTTTACTGTGCTTGAAGTATGATGACTTCAAAATATTTTGATTTCTTCATTTGTAGTTTTGGGATTAGCCCATATATTGTCTCCTAAGTAAAAATGTGAAACCACTGCACAGTAAGTAAAATATCTACTGTCAATTACAGCCCATGGTGGCAATCAAAATGATCACATCAAAAGCTCCAGCTAGAGATAAATTCTGTCGAGCATCATAGGCCTCTGATCTCTTCCTCTATTGTTTAATTGAGAGTTATCGTAAACGTTTAAAAATAAATGAGCAATACTATCAGTTGCTCAGCAGTGAAATATTGTTATGTCTGATAAAAGTTTAAGATCCAAGATGCCTTTAAGCTTTTAAACATGGACTGCTGAAGTTGAGATAGTTGAAAACATATTGAAAGGATTATTTTAACAGTAAAGTGGACATACCTTCTTACAAATGTGGCTAACCAGATAACTAGCAACTGATACATTTCAAGTATTCCTTGGCTTTCTTCATTAAAATCTATACCTATCTATCTTGCATAACACCTTTGTATCTTAGTAATATCTAAGATTTACACTAAATGTGGAGTCCTGTAGCTTAGAGCGCTCGCCTCGTAAGCGAGAGGACCTGGGTTTGATTCCTGGGCAGGGTGGAATGTTGAACACCATTAAGTATTCAAATTCAGCTTCTCTGAAGCTCTTTGAGACGTGGTACTAGATATGGTGCTGGATCAAATGCAAGGATTATTATTAAATATTGAAGCTACCTTTAAATGAATTATTTTTTGACCAGGTCTGGATTTATGAAATATTTCTCTTCACAGGCAGCATATGTGATGTGATGCTACAGTCTGGATTTATTATAATAAAGACAAAGGCACTAATCGCAGAACAATAACGCTTTGGGTGATCGATTTATTGATCGTGTTATAACCGAAAAATTACTGTTTTTAAATCTTTACTAATCACTATGATTTTAAAATAATGTAGATTTATCTTGCAGGATTAGTGTTCCATACTTATAGTAACTTTCTCTTTTCATAGGATCGCACTCGTCTATATGACTCCTTGAACATGCACTCACTTGAAAACTCACTCATTGATATAATGAGAGCTGAGCACGATCCACTGAAAGGTGAGTATTGCTCTTAAAAACTCATGAAATGCTTACATTTTGGGAAAAAAACTCTTCATTGATCAAGTTCCTACCTAACTCAACCTTATGACAAAAAATGTTATAGCGTTTATTGCCTAAAGCTTAAAAAATATATTTAGAAGAGCAAAATATGGAACCATGAATAGAGCATAGACAATTTCAATGGAATTGAAAATAATGTTTTTTTGCATAAGAACATCTTGAGGAATGTGTAAAGGAATTATAGCCTAACCCTGAGGAAAAATTAATAAAACATAACCAAGGTATCAATGGCTGAGTAAAGAAATACAAAAATACCCTAAAGGCTGAGTTTAGAAATTTGGTGCGTGGTGTGAAGTAGCTGGAGATTTAAGGACCAGATAGGTTCTGAAGTAAGAACACGATAATTTGGAGTCCTGTAGCTTAGTCTGGAGTCCTGTAGCTTCATGGTTAGAGCACTCACCTCGTAAGCGAGAGGCCCTGAGTTCGATTCCCAGACAGGGTGAAATCTTAGGCAAGTGTCCTTACTCCACACGCCTCTGTTTACCCAGTAGGAACCTGGTTATTAGTCAATTGGTGGATTGCTTTTCCAGGGATAATAATTCCTTAAGAAAATAATTCTTAAAAAAAAAATTTGGTTACTCAATCCCTTACTGTTTGTGGGACGCTGCCATGTTCCGCCCACAAAATATACAGCCGATTTACGGTATATTCTGTGAAGCACTTTGAGACTTCTCGAAGATGTGATAAGGCGCTGTATCAAAATGCAAGTATTGTTATATTAGGCAAGATATTAATTTTTTGGTTAGAGCACTCGCCTTGCAAGTGAAACACCTGGGTTCAATTCCAGGCAGGGCGAAACCTTGGGCAAGTTTCCTTACTCCACATGCCTGATAATAATCCCTCCAAAACCCAAAACAATAATAAATTGGTCATTTTCAATCCACGACTGTTTGTGGGACATTGCTGTGCGCAATTGGCTGCCGCGTTTCGCCCACAAATATACAGTCAATTCACTTTACAGCATATTCCGTGAAGTGTTTTGAGAGTCTAGAATATGTGAAAAGCGCTATATCAAATGCAAGGATTATTATTATCATAAAATGAGAAATGGCAAATGTTAAATCTTCATGAATCCAGACTCAAATTTCAGAAGCAGGCATAGGACTCTATATCTTTATAATAGTCAATAAATCGCGTGTTTCAAAGAAAATGAAAATATTATATACACTGGAAGGAGTAGATTGGAAACAGCATAAAATCCTTAAAGGAATGGGTGAGGAAATGGATTAATTGTGGTAATTATTCTGAATTCTACAGATATGGGCACCTCCCCTGAGGGCTGGAGGATAATCATTGTGCTCCCACTGGTCAAATCTGATGTGAACATTTTAAAGTAATTGTGAATTTTAAGCAAGCATGACTACCTAAGGAATAGTTGGCATAAGTTTAGAAGTGATCGGTTATATAATCTGCTCTCATGTATTTCATGCTGAGTGGTGCAGCTCATGAGGAAGCTCACGGGAAGTTCTTGGTACTTTGCATCCACCTAGTGAGGGCTCAAACCTGCACTTGTCCATTGACCACTCTATCCTCCTCCACTGCCTCTCCTCTCACCTCAACCTTCATGGCTCTGTGGGCTCTGGAACGGAGAGGGGGTGGGGTGGGCGGAGATTGGGCTCTGGAGCGGTGGGGGTTAACTCTGTGGGCTCTGAAGCGGGGAGGACGGGCTTTGCAGGTTGCAGGGGAGCGTCCATTCGGGGGGCTCTGTGGGTTCTTAGAAACGTAAAAGACGCAAAATTATAGGATAAGATTTGTATATTAAAGACTCTTTTGAAATTGGGTATGTACAGTGCGTTCCCATTACAAATTGCTTCGATACACCTGATTTGTTGAGAACCTGACTACGTGACTATTTTCTGGCATTGGGAAATGGCAGGCATATGGTAACCAAGCAGCCAGCTGTGCACAAAACAGCTATCACTCATTATAAGGTAGATTAGAATTTTCAGGATCTTATCATACTGCTTTTTAAATGTTTTTGACAGGCTACTGGGATAAACACCCTTCTCTTTTGGAATAGTGTCATTGCATCTTTAACATCCACCTTATAGGCAGTTGGGACCTCAGTTGTACATCTCTTCTGAATTATTGCACCTTCAAAACACCCCCAGCACTGCATTGGAGTGTCAGCCTAGGCTGAACTCCATAGAACCAATACATGTCTCTCTTGATCATGCGTTATTTAAACAGGATGTGTGCAGCTGGGAATTATGAAGCACATGAATAAGGCAGAACTGGAAACACTGATAAAACACAGAAATAGGCTGGCAAGAAGGTCACCTTTTTCAGTTACATGAGTCCTCAAGTGTAAGGTTTCACAATGTAGTACAGTAAGGTGTATGAGTGAAATCAAATCTACAAGGAAGTGACTGGAATAGCATAGAAAAGGAAGGGAGCTGAACAGAGCAGGTCAAATCATAAAAATGGAGCTTTATCATCCAGTTAACTGGATATATGCTAGTCAAGCTTGTTCTTTTATTTAGCCATGTTCATTTTTATTTCTTCTTTTTCTTTCAATTCTTAGTGTTTCAATTTTTCAGTCTTTTTGTTCACTGTTCATCTTTTTGTACAAGCTGTAAGAAATGGATATTTGACCCATTAAGTTCCAAATTGTGGATTCCTGTAGACTTATTGGTTGGAGAACTCAAACCACATACTTTGTGTTTCGCCCACACAATATACAGTCAATTCACTTCATAGTATATTCTGTGAAGCGCTTTGAGACATCTTGAAGATGTAACAAGGCGCTATATCAATTGCAAGGATTGTTATTGGTTGACCCTGTTGTGGAAATGAAAATAGTGCAGATATGAAGTCATTATGCAGAATACATTGTCCAACACACTGGAACCTCATAATGTGGTGGTTGGGACCCATAAAATTCCACGAAGCGCAATAGCAAATGTCACTGTGCGTGTGCAGCTGGCGTGTTCATTCCCATGCTTTAAAACAGCCTGAATTCCAGGTCAGCAGGTCACTGCTGATGTTGCTTCCTTTTTGATGCACAAAGTAGGAAGTGATGCTGGTAGTAGCCTGATGACCTGGAAATTTTTTTAAAAATTTAAGCCTGAGACAATGGACGTTAGCCAAAATCGGGATCTTCAGGGCACCTTTGACATTGCTCCCTACCTTTGCATGCATAGCAAAAGTGAAGTGGCAACCTAATGCACTGGAATTCAGCCATTTTAGAGTGATAGTGAGCTAGCTGCTTGCTTCTGCAGTGAATGAAGGTTATACTGCACCTGGTTTTAACCAAATTCACACTGTAAAAGGGTGCAATGTACTTACCAAAAACCTTTCACTAGTGGTACTATTGTCACAATAGTACTAAACAGTGCAAGTCTTTCTTTTTCCCTAATAATGCCAATCTCTGCCCACAGTACTGAGTCTTCTTTTTCCTACATTTACCCCAAAGTGCCAGACCTTTTCTTTCCTTCCACGATCCAGTGCCAGCCTTCTCTTTCACAGGTCACCCTCACAGTGCCAGCCTTTGTTCTTTCATCCCCCCCAGTGCCAGCCTTTCTCTTTCTTTTCCCCTCTCACCCCTAAGAACACGTAGTGCTAGCCGTTCTTTTTCTATTACATACTGTAGCCCTGTTAAATTCTTATCTCAAACATACCTTCGCTGGTTAAACTATGCATCCTGTTAAAATAATAATTTATCGCAAAATTGCACGTAGGATTTTATTTCGGGACCTCGGATATTTTGTGGCTGTTATATAATGTGTAGATATGGAGTGTTTGGGTTTTCAAAATTGAAATGATGCTACTCGCCTTGAAAAGATAAATTGGAGCTGTTTTTCTAAACTTCTGACACTAGTTGTAAGGGTAGTTCTTGGAAACGTTTTCAGTTCTTCCAGCAAAAGTCACTTACAAAATGTAAAGTTCTCATTCTTCCACTAAGATTTTGTTTACAACCAATGTTCAATTAAAATTGAAAGAATTTAAACAGTGAATCTTTTATGTTTTTCAGCCATGGTTCAGAATAAAAGCCATTGGAATGTTAAGCATGTGTCCAAGATTTGGCTATCTTTCAAAGCGAATGAGCAATTTGGGTTCAACAGTTGATTTTGCTGTTGTGTATGAATAACGAAAAAATTTAATGGACAAACCAACAAGATTAGAAGTTGTTGTGGAGCATGGGGTGGGGGGGAGACAGAACAAGGGTTATATATGTTATAGTAAAGTTGTGAAGCCAAGGATTTCGCGAAATCCTAAAATTTTCAGTAAATTTGTTTCATCATTGTTTCACAACTTTACTGTACTGTTTGACAACTTTACTGTAACATATTTAGCTAACGCAGCCAACGTCTTGTGTTGAAAGTTTATGGAAATGTTGTGTGGAACACTGAATCTGCCTTTGACTTTGAGATGTTAATTGCTTCCTCATAATAGTTTGGATTTCCTCTTGTGGCCAATGACAGCGACATATGCAATTCATTTGAGTAGTTAAATAAATGAACAGAAAAGTGAAAAATGTAATATTGATAGATTTCCTTTTTGGTCAGTCTGATCCATGCTTGAACACCTTGCTGTGCTCAAGTGCTTCAGTTCCAGCTGCAGATAATTCACAGAAGCAGAACTTGCCAGTTCTGAATCGCACTTTTTCGACGGTGGGGCAGGGGGTGGTGGTATAAAGCAGAAGAAATCATATCTAGTTTGCCTGGATTGGAGATTCCCTTTGGAGAGGCATTATGGTCCCCAAATCGGAACATTAAGAGTACTGCTATAAAAATAATTATTAATTATAATCATAGCTTTTGGTATGGCACCTTTCACATCAGAAGAATGTCTCAAAGCATTTCACAGGACTTACTGTAAAGGGCAGTGACTATATTTTGTGGACAAAGGCAGAAATGACTGTCTTTGCAGTACTGCACGCAGCAGTATACAATTTATTGATATAGAACCTTTCACGTGCTTATTGATATATTGACACTGGAAATAATGACTCAATCTGTTAGGGCATGAAGCATCAGCAGTTGATATGAAGATTACCAACAGCGGTAACCACTGAATCCCATATATGTGTGCACTGTGCAGCAACACTCAAAATCATGTTTGTCAATAGCTGTCACCTGCCTACAAAATGCAGTTACTACGTTTTGCAGTAAATTGTATGAAGCGCTTTGAGATGTCCAACTGACCTGAGGGACCTATGCTTTGTACACTATAATATGTCAGCTAATTTCACATTCTGGAGGTTCATATTTTATGTTGTGTACCAGGCTTGCTGTACATTAACTGCTTAATCCTGGTTCTCATGTAAAGTACTTATGAAGTGAATCTGCCTCCAGTGTGTACAAAGCTTATTTATAGTTTGTATTCCAAGGCTCTGTGCCTCACAATTTTAAGTATTTTTAATGGGTCAGTGAAGTTAATGAAACATAAAACCTTCAGGCTGAATGTTTATTAATATACTGCAGTTGCTTCTGTATTGCACAACAGAACATTGCTGTATTTTCATCATCTAGGCAGTGTGTGATGCATGTGTAGATAGAAACTTCCTGCTCATTCATAGGCACATCAACACAGAAATGTTATTTAATTTGGGACTGAATAAGAGGGATGTGCTCTTGAATGGGTTCTACTGTATATTTCAGGGCATGTTACATGAAGAATAAATGTGCTGCAGAAGGAAGCAGAATTGGATTTATAACTTTCATTGAAATGTGCTTTGTCAGCCTTAAGTCACTCCTGTAACATAAGAACAAAGCTAACATCATTGCTATTCTGACATGTTTTTTCGTAACATAATTATTTCAGCAAAACATTGAGAATTTGTATTCATTTACATATATGTAAGCGACCACTTTCTGAGCATTTCACATAGTGAGGAGGGGGAGTTTTACTAAAAATGGAATGGCTTGCATTGGTTTTCATTAAAATTCCTCTAGTTCAAATTTACAAAGTTCTGTCATGAATGTAGGATTTAAAGAGTATTAAAATTAAGCTAGATAACATTTGTGAGATAATTTGGAAGTTCAATGTAAACAATGTACTGTTTTCCTTACTTGCACTTCATGCTTCACCAGTGTCCTTTAAAACTGAGGATAACAGATCGTTTTGGTGTAAGATTCTACTGCTTTTGTTGAATTAAAGCCTTCAGTGAATGCTAAAATATCATCCATCCTTTAATATACTTCTCCCCACTCATCTGGAGATTCATCTTGTATCTGTTATTTTCTGGCAACGCACAGCTGAGAATTTGCATCTGAGCAAGTTAGTGCGTGCCTTTGGCGCTATTGAAACTGCAACTTTAAATGAATGAAGATTGTATGGTTACATTTTTACATTGCAGTGGTCAAGTGAAGTCTTTGAAAGTATAAGTGAATTATTTAAATTGTTCATTGCAAATTTAAAAAGTCTAACTAAACATTATTTTTGCTGATGAATACAATATTTTACTATTCTTAAAAAATGGCAATATCTCCCCCCATTTTTGCAGGGCGCTTGGGATATCCACATCCAGGTACTGACCATCTTCTCATGCTTAATGGTAAGAATTTTATTTTAGTATCATTTGTCCTAAATCATTCTGTGCTTCTTTAATTATAAAGGATACAATAAATTGTTTTTTTGTCTGGCAAAGTATACTGGTAGCACTGTGTTCAGTCTTAGTTTACATTTGTACTATAACAAATATTTTAAGTGTAAAATCTTGAGATTGATATTTTTTAATTTTGTTGTTGTTGTCTGTTATATTAAACTCCTGTAATACCTGAAGTAAGAATGGAGTTCATAAAACATACTTTGAAACCTTGACAGGAGCATTTCAACTTCTGAGTGGTACATTATTTTTTCCAATATGATTTACAATTCCTAGCTTCAAGGTCATGAGTCATGACCTCTGACATGAAGGGTGCTTTATAAATGTAAAATGTTGTTGTATGACTTGTGAGGCAGAATGATTCAATTGAGAAACAAAAGCATTTCAGTTAGAACTCCAGTAGAGAAATATGCTACATAATAACCTATTTTTTGAATCTCAATTGGTGTGATTTTGAAACTGCTGTTTATGTTGTCACTTTCTGCAGTTTATATCCACACTTGCATTCCTGAGGCCTGGACACGAGGCTCATTTAAAAAGCAGCGTGTTGCTGTGATGGGGGGACGGAATGGGCTGAAGGGCTTTCTTCAACCAGACCGATCTTGTGATTTCTGTTGTCACACAGCATGAGATTACTGTTGAAGCAATGCTGTCCCAACGTGTATAGTGAAAGGATTGTATTAAGACTTCTACCTCATTAGGTAAAGGGGTGTTTCCATTTCTCAGATAAACGCTAGGTACTCACAGTATTCTCTTGTTGCCTCATTGCTCTCCAGCAAGAAAAACTGAGAGGAAAAAGCATAACTGAAGTGCATAAATCAATTTCTGAATCACAAGGTTCTCTCCACAAATTCTGGCACAACGTTTCCAGACATGGAAAGAGACAAAATCAAGGTTTTGTGTTTTTTTTGGATCAGCCGGGTATTTGATGCATGCGGAAACCCATCACTGTGCTTAAGAGTATCCAAACTAAACTGAGAATTTTATGCAACCCACCTATACATGGAAATTCCAGAGAGATTATTGGAATCGAATGCACTCTCTCCCTGGAAGGATGCATCCTGCTTACCTAATAATAAGATTGTTATTGAGGCTATGATTTATTAAGATATTAACTTAATTCCCACAGAAGTTGTAAGGTTGTACATTCTACATTTAGTTACTTTTCTAGAGATTTGGTAACTTCCAACTCCTCTTTTTATGTTAGTTTTGAAAAGGAATGAATGGCTTTTTTATTAGTATTCACTTGGATTCTAGTTGTATCTGGTGTATTTTCTGAATCAATTAAACATTTAAGTAGTTTATGGCTTTAACACCCAAGCTGACATTCTGGACTACATCTGAAAAATCCCATATGGTATGCTTGATTGTGAAATGTTGCATTATATGTATTTTTATAATTGAATATTGCTTACCACTTAATCAATCCTGATCCCCTTTTATTCCCCTTGCTTTAATTTGGATCTGGTTCAATTAACAATGTTAGCTTGCTTAAATGCAGAGTTAAGTTGTTGCACTAAAGAAAAACCTTGTTATGTAATATCACTCTTCTGACCTCACTGATGTGAAGTTAGATGGCTTTTCAATGGAAAATAGTTTTTGAGTCTTAGAGATGCACATTTGACTGTGTACTATCGATCTTCTGTGGTGATGTATCCCATTTTGTATGGTAAGTAATCCCAGAGTGTGACAGTCTGTTTTGTTTCTAAGAACTGCGCTATAGTGTGCTGCAGAAAGTATGACTCACTGCATCACTTCATTCCCAAGAAAGGTCAGTGGTGTAGCTGTGAAAAGTCGGGCCACACAAGGAAGAAAAATCTGCAGCAAAATGTCACATGTGGAGCTCTTTTTGCATCAGGGAACAATCTATTTTTGGTTTGACCTTCACAGTTGTTTTAAAAATTCCTTTGCTGTCCTCATTTAATTAAATAAGCTGCATAAGCATGTACCTAATGTCTTTCCTCCATTCCACAATAAAGTCTGGAACTGTGAAACACTATTACACTGTTAAACATTTTATATAACTGAATCTTCCTTTACTGCAGTTTTTAAAAAATGTGTATATATATATAAATATGTGTATATATAAAGGAAAAATAGGATTATCACTTCTGAAAAACTATAGTTGACATTGAAAATGTCTATTTGTGAATGTGAATTCTGCACAATTCATGAGTATTATAGGGATTTGTATATCAATTTGGCTCAGGTGGTAGCACTCTCGCCTTTTCAGTCCAAAAGGTTGTGAACTTTGAACTCACACAGTCCAGGCTGACATTCCAGTGCAATGTTGAGGTGGGGTCCTTTAGATGAAACGGTAAACTGAGGTCCGATCAACCTGTCAAATCTCATGGCACCTTTTGAAAAGAAACAGGAGTTTCCCTGATGGCCTTGGCTCTCTGTGCTTAATACTGTGCAGTAAGCAGGATATGGTCCTCCAGCGAGAGAGTGTGCATTCCATTCAATAAACATCTCTGAAAGTTCCATGTATAGGTGGGGTACCTGGAACTTGGTTTGGACACAAGTTATTCTGTAATCTGAGAGTTGAGCATGGTTATGGGTTTCCGCAAGTGTCACACCTGTCAGACCAAAAAACAAACACACAAGGTCCAGCAGTACATGCCATTGCCTTTTATGAAACCAGGTCCAAAAATCTCCAGTGCACCGAAACATGCCCTACTTCGAAAATAAAGAAGGCTTGATAATTGAAAAGCCTATTCTCAAGGCACCTTACAAATAAGAATGGTTTCTTTAGTGTATTTAAGTTCATTGGTTCAGGTTTCCATAAATACAACCCACGTCATTGGAATTGCAACACATTTTTCTGTAATCTGAGAGATACTCAAAGTAATTGTTGGTACATTCCTTTCACAAACTGTTGTGGCAGTTAACTATGGAAACCCTTGATGCAAGTAGTTTTCTACACACTTGGAAGTAGCAGACCTATCCCATTTTTTGCAGAAGTCCATATTATCAGAAAGGGACCTATCTTCCTGTCACCATTCAGCAATTTTTTCTCTATCTGTCTGGGCAATTATTGCCCAAACACGTCAACTGAACTGGGTTGCAGCATAATGGGTTGCCTCTGGAAAATCTAATGAGAAGATTCAGCAATTTAATCAAATTATTTTGAAATTGTTTTCTCAACATGCTGCACCAGGTGCTTGTGGGATAGGGCATTATACTTATTTTTTNGCTCACTTCCTCAATATTCCTATATGGAGATGTTTATTGGTAGCTACATTTACCCCCCATGGGAATAAGTCACTGCAGCTCACCCCTGCCTGTTCATGTTGGTTTCAGTGTGGCTTTATAGAAACCCATGAAGAAGTTAACTTCACCCTCTTTGGCACCATTAGTTCCTGTTAAGAGAAGTCTTGCTGTTGAACTTAAAAGCTCTAGTATTCCAGGTTGATTGACAAGCCTTTATAATTTTTCTGATGCAGATATTGAATGTGGCTGTTTTCAAATGTGACTTAAGAAGCTGTCGGGGTGAATGACCCATTTATCCACATATCAATGACTGGTATACTTAAGAGATTCTTGCAGTCTCACTTGAAGCATTACATTTGATTATGGATTTGTACAGCATTGGAAGCCACTTTGTAGAACTTTGAATTCAGTACAAATTGCATTCCTGTCATGAATTCAAGTACTGCTGTCAAGAAAATAACAAATATATGATATAAATGTTTTTTATGTCACAGGTTATTGATCTGTGAGTCAATAATATTCAACTTCTGAATTGAAATAGAAACTAGAATTCTAAGCAGAAAGACATTCTGTTCACCTTTCTGCATGATTGCTAATAGAGAAGAGCGGGAAGAATACAGATCTGATTTTTGATGCACCTCTGTGCTTGCATTACCAAAGCATTGAATGCAACTGCAGGCTGAAGCCCAACTACGGAATGGAATCCTGTGAAAATCCCAGTAAATGCTATCTTTCAGCAGCTGTTATCCCGTGCTGATATACATGAAGATAACATTATGTGATCATGCTTGTGTGAAGTTTATTAATGTTGCTTCTCTATTTGTATTAATACAACAGGAATGATCCCCAGTGTTAGAAGAATGAACTGTAAGGGATATTTAGACGAGCTGGGGCACTTCATTTTTCAGAGAAGATCCTTTCATAGGAGACCTCATAGACAGTATAAGATTTTAAATGGGCCTCAATATGTAAACCCAGAACAGTATTTTATAATGCACCAGAATGGAGAACAAGGGGTTTAGAGTTGCAAAGCTCAGTTTTTCTTTCCTCGGAAGGTGATTAATGGCTGAGAACAAGTTGTCAGGAAGGGTGGTTGAGGCCAGGGCACTGGACTCATTTAAAAAGCAAGTTGATGCTCTGATGGGTGGACTGCTGATTGTGTATTCTGGAAGGATACCAAGGGCCTTTATCCAAATATCTCTTGTGAACTATTTGAACTTGTGCCACCGTGTTGATATGTTACAAACTTTTTGTACAAACATAATGGTTTGTTCCATTTTTATGCCTGGGTGCTTCCTTTGTAACATTGTGTGTTTGGGTATTAAGGATGCAAATCAATTCCAGATGCAATTAATGTTCATTTCCCGGCAGGGCGAAACTTTGGGCAAGTTTCCTTATTCCACGCGCCTGATAATAATGTTTGCCGGGTTTCACCCACAAATATACAGTCAATTCACTTTACAGTATACTCTGTGAAGCGCTTTGAGACATCTAGAAGCACTATATCAAATGCAAGTATTATTATTTTAGTGCTATCTTTGGAAGCAATCAATTGTTCAGTACTACCTGCCAACTTCATCTGTTCAACAACAACAACTTGGATTTATATAGCGCCCTCCACACCAGACGAAGTCTCAGAGCGCTTTACAGTAACGGATCCCGGTTCACTCAGTCCAGTACAAAATCTATTTTGACCTAAATTGATTTCAGCCTTCCATTAGCTTCAGGGAATCATA